TGAATATAGGCGACATTTTCTAGTTTGGCCGCGCTAGGGTTTCAAATTTTGGTGGTTTTCCACAGCAATTTTTCGCTAACAAACCAAATTTCAAAAAATTATTAAAAACATTTCCTATAGACATAATTTCAATTTGTTTAGTTTGTCTGAAAGGTATTTTCATATAGGTGCTTGAGACGCCCAAAAAAATATTTTACGCCTTCTAATGTGGACAGAGCAGGCTTTCAAAACTACGTCTTAATTCTAAACATTTAACACAACTCTCTTAGGCTGCTTACACAACTTTGTTAAGGGATATGACAGGTGTCTGTCTTTATTCAAATTCGAACATATCATCACACAATTTAATATTGAAAAGGCTTGACCTATGTTATTCTATATTTATACCGATACCGTAAAGTAACCTATAAAGTATACAATGAAATTTTTTAGCCTTGTATATGCCGTAGTTTATAAGCAATGATTTTCGATATCGACCTATGTACATAATTTTCTGAGGTTTTTGCAAAACTTGGAGCAGAAAACTTAATAATTGGTGAAAGGGAGAATGCTTAGCAAATACAGAAGCACAGAAGGACTGTTATGACAATTCAAACTTTGATGCCGACCACGAGTGTATATGTCTTATATCTTCTCTGCAGCAGTGAACGTAGTGCTACCTCTCGGTGGTGGATATAGCATAACAGTGAAGGAAATTTTCATAACTATATTTAAAAGCCATAGCACATAGCAATCTAAATTTGAACAGAAACAGTCCATCACAACGTTGCCAATAAAAATTTTCTCTTTTAGTGAACAAAACACGTTCCAAGTGATAGGAATTCAGAGAAAAAATTACTACCGATCATCGACCGAATAGGTTAGCAACGACTTGGGCTGAACCGATTATCCGAATGTAATTTACAACTTTATTGAGGCTTTATGACTTAACATGAGTCATAAGAGAATTCAATGGGTTTCCTTGCCCTAGTTTTTGTGACTGGTTAGCAAAATTGGTGTTCTTGAGCAGTAGTCTTAAGGGAAATTCCCCAATATGGACTTTGTTATAAAACAAAGCAGAGTAGTCACGAAAACCGCAAATGAAAAAATGCGACTTGTGACTTGTGACCCCTCTGTGATGCTGCTCAGAATAAGACATTTAATTTAATTACAACCTTGTCCGTTACTAGTCACGTCATAAACGATTAGCAAAAAAAATTTGGAATAAGAAGAAAATGATGCTTATAAATAGCAAAGAGATGGGTTTGCCGCTAAGAATATCAAATTCACCTGAAGGAACACGATTGAACAATTTTTGAATGCTTTCCGATTTTCGAAGTGGATGATTGAAAGCTTATGGAGAACAGGAAATTGATTCCGGGATTTGACATTATCAAGTTCAATGGCTGGTAGATTGCAGACAAACAATGGATGAATTTTTAAAAGTGTTGAAATATTCAGATTTGTGGACTTGAATGCGTGATGGTTGGAAATTTTGAAAATTTCAATTACTGAAGATTATAAACACTTCATGGCTTGAAGATTGGAAGACTTGACGATTTAACTTCCGATAGATTTAAGACTCCTAAGTTTGAATGTATGGAGATCTAAGGGCTCGAATGTTTTAAGGAAATCAGTTAGCAAAGTGTACTTTACATTCCACAATTTTCATTGTAGCACTGATCATGCAATATTCGTAAACTTATTGCAAGTCCTTCTCAAATTAACAATTTGTTGTTGAGAAGATTAAGTCAAATGAATTACTCGTGCCTTTAATCTAGATTGACCTTAATCAATAAGCATATATGCATTTTGCCTTTTGTGAGCTTAGAGGGATGTTGATCATATCGGTCCTATAAGCAAGCAGTGGCTATTTTACATCAAATGAAGAACAATTTTTCAATTATTTTTAATACAACAGAATTTTTGTTTAGCTTTTTTTAAAGCAATCCCCGTAACCTTAGGCTTGCGTTAAGAATCTTGTTAGCAAAATTGTTCATAGTATATATTATGTGTATCGGTGTATGCATATGTTAGCTAGCATATACTCCTTTAAACTTGTTTGTTTCTGCCATGTGCCGTAGTATCTACGCACGTACACTGCTGAACGAAAACTCTGTAAAGTAATCAAGGTAGTAACGAAAATAAAATATTGTGCATACAAACTGTGAAGCCATAAACAAGGCAATAAACAACAAGACAAAGATTAGTTTCTTTTTATATAAATAAAAGCAAGCATACGAGTCCAAGCAAACAAATGACAATCAAATATCAAGTAGTAAATTTGCAAAAGGTAATAAAAAAGAACCAAAAAAAAAAAAAAGGAGGAAACACAAACATTAAAAGAGCAATACATGTAACAAATAGAAACCGATTACGAGCAAAACGTATTACTACTATTTCATGCTCAGTCGTTGGCGCTGCTTGGCTTACGGACGGACAGTGTGTAGCATTAAATCGAAGAAAAAAATGACATTTCAACATACTTGTCATCTCTGCGGGCAATAGAAACCTTAACGATAACTTAAACAAACCCGAACGAATCTACGAAACACATGCAAAGACATGCCCATACACACGCACACAAATGTACAGGAATTTAATTTTATATATGTAGGTATTATGAAAATAAAACAAACTTCTGACATCTTACGAATAAAATAGAAGAGAACTTTGCTACGAAAACAATAGCCATTGAAAAGAAAAAAATATCTTAAGTAAATTCTAATAGTTAATAGAGCAAGCTGTACATTACATAATAAGCCGTTTACCTTTGAAGAAGCTTTATAAATGTTATAACATCTATATTTAATAATTATTACACCACAGGCTTCAATAATAACAGCCCTGATAGCAAAGCAACGTAACGACGAGCCACCACCACTAATGCCCAGCCAGCCGATTATGATGCAAAAGTTCAAGTAGCTTAAAAGACAAGAGCACACGAAAGACAAAACAAGCGAAGAGATCGCCTCAATCAAGCACACGTCTTCGCTGGAGGAGGTTTTTTTTTTGTTTTTCTTTTCAGATAATCATTCATTTAATTATAAAAATTTCTATTGATAGACTGACTTATAAGCGCAACAAACAAACAATAGAGGCGGGAAAATTTTTTTTTGTTTCTTCTTTAGGTTTAAATGTCAACAGGTCTGTGTGTCTTCTTCCAAAGCCAAGCAAAAAGCAAAAGAAAACATTAAGGCAACATAAAGAAACGAATTGAAAAACCTGTTCAAGAAATTGAAATTCAGTCACACTATATATAATAAAATGTATTTTAGTAGGCGAAGAAGAAGACGAGAAACCTTCCATGCAATAAGGTGTGTGAATATGTGACATAATAAAAAAAGAAAACAAAAAAGTGGGACTTTTGCGATATGTTTATCCGATATTTTGTAATTTTTGCTAAAAAGATTAGCAAACCTGAACTTTGCGAAACCAAATCTCAAGATACCGCTGTGGCGGCAGGAAAATGATGCAAAAATTTATCAAAATTCATATAAGATTTTATCTTTAAAGTATACACATATATATATATATATGTGTGCGTACGTATGCGACCATAAGATAAGTCACTCAAATTCTTAGTTAAATATACGTTTCATGAAAAAATCCCCAATGAATTAATTAAATTTCGTAATAACAAAGTATTAGCGAATTTTAAAAGCACTTATACGTGGTTTGAGAAACATTGTTAGGTGCCTAACCTTAAGCTATTGACAAGTTCTTTTGTGGATTGGACGTTTACCCATCGATCGATAGGAACCGTTCTTTCAACGAACCGTTTGATGTACTTGAGGTTTATATAGCTACCACACTTCAATCTGATATGCACTCAACTCTTTTTTTACACAGTCGGTGGTTTTCTTAGAAATCCGTGCCGCAAGATACATGCCGCATATTGCAAATTTAGGCATATATTCCACAACTTCAAAAAATCGTTTGAGATAAAAAAAAGTCCACATTTTTTCCAAAAAAACCGTGCAAAAAAAGTAATAATGAAAGCCTTATTACACATTTATAAAACAAACACCATTCCTTTTTTTGACAAAAAAACCAATTCATATCTGTGCAAAGTGATAATTCGGTCCGCAAATTGGTACAACATCTATCTACAAAGGAAATTCGATATTAACAATAAAAATCAATTTCCCACACATGCACGTCTATTACGAACCAGATCAAGTTATAAAGCCTGTTGGTAGAATTTTTTTTTTTCCTTCTCAATTTGTTTACATAATTCTTGATGTCCAAATTTCGGTGAGACTGTGACAAAATTAAAATTTAAAAAAATTTTTTTTTTTATTTTGGATTCGTGGTCCACCAAAAAGAAATGTGTAAAAAATACTTTTTCAAGCCCTCGCAGTAGTTACTAGTTGAAATTCATCCTCGACTATTACTGTATACATAAATTTTTATCAAACATGGTCAGAATTACAATTAAAAAAAGAAAGTTGTGCCGGGATTCGTGGATCAAAATATATATTAGTGAACCACGTTATTTCAAAATCGTGTAAAAAAGGAGCTTCTAAAAAAGAATTGGGGCTGCTTGCAATGAACAATGCTATTTTTGAAATGTTCCTTTCCATATTCGATCCAATGAAAGCATGCTTATAGACGATACGCGCTTGCTTTTTCATTTGGGTTATCTATCAAACTTAAGCTTGCTATATAATATACGTAAGGTCCGAGCTTTATTTTCGTACATGAAATTTCGGGATCGTAAAAGGTTTAATAACGGATCAGAGAGAATGGCGGAAATCTTACAATGATTGGAAATAAATAAGAATGACAAATAGAATGACAAAATTAACATGCTTACATTCCTCGCTAGCGGATATATAAAGTTCAGTTTAATCATTTGAAATCCATATAAATTGTTGTTAACGTACGTTTGCACTCGCTCTTCAATATCAAATTATAAATATTTTTGAAAAACACGAGCTAAAATTAGTTTATGACTAAAGGCAAAAATCCAAAAAAAAAAAAAAAAAAAAAAAAAAACAAGTGTAAAAGTTACTCACCTTGTGCGTTAGCAATGCCTTTCCTACCACCGCTAATGCAGCTCATCAGTATAGTAAGCATAAAGATGGTAAGACTGGTGAATTGCCACCAACAACATCGCCATTGAAGTCTAACGGTCGGCCAATTCATTATTATATGCAAATGTAATCGTTTTCTTGCCTTTGTTTATTTTTTCCTTTTTTATTTATTTTTGATTTTTCTGTTTTGTTTTTTTTTTTTTATTTCAGCTTCAGACAAGTTTTAAGTAAACCGGATAAATTTGTTTAATATTTTTTATACACTTTAAAATAAAACAAAAAGAATTTTAGCCAAAAGTTAATTTTTTAATAATTGCATGAAAGTTTTGATAACAGGGCAGGTAAAGAATCAACAAAGATTTACGCGGTAACCATCTGACGAGAATAAAGGCGTTGAAGAGGACCTTAAATTTGACAATAACTTAGTTACATCTGATCGACGAATTTAGAGTGCAATATATAGGATTGCTAGATAACCCTCTAAGGCCGACGTTTTATGGTAAGGTAGTATTTTTACGCTTTTTGTAATTATTATATAATCTGATCCGTCGATCATTAGTTTCTTTTTCATTGCTGCTCTCGAAGTAGAATAATTGGAAAAACTACTAAACTTAAAATATATGTTGAAATTTATACGTAGACCACTTGTGGTACAAAGGCATTTCAAGCTTGTGCGGATTTATGCAATATTTAGAAAGACTTGAGACGCAGGCGCACCTTTTGTTATACTCTTGTCTTCTTCTTCTTTTGTTATATTCTTGTCTTCAACGTTTAGGTCGACATTTTCGAGATATTTCGATAATCGAACGTTGTTGAAAATAGTTCGGACCAATTTGTGGTTTACTGCCCACTAAATGTCATTTTAAAACCCGTTATGAGAATACCTGTAGAGTAGATTATTTAGCCCTTGTCCACCATTTTACTTGTTTTATTCATTTAATTGAAACTGAATCGCAATAAAGATGAAATTGAATAAAAGTTAAATTCAAATTGAATTGAAACCAAGTTTAAATCGAATCAACATTGACTTGATATTAAAAACGATTAGAGTGTATTTGAAGCTGAATAGAATTTGAATTGAATTTAAATTGCAATCGATTTGAAATTAAATTGAAATCGAGTTTAATCTAGAATACGATCGCAAAAATAAAATTTTCAGCACATTTTTGCATGCTATGCAAAATCAATCAAACTTGACGATAGCACTGAGAGAAAAAGTGCAAGCATGTCGTTTATGTTATCGTTCAACCTTTGATTAACATGATTTGGGATAATATCACATCTTATGCATAAGTTGATGGAAAATATATAGTTCATGCGTCGAATCGTATTGAAAGAACGTATGAGTGTTGAAAACGAAAGGTCCTTGAACCGCTACTCTATCAACATCGATGTTGTATTCGAATTCTGTAGAGATTTTAAGTAAAGGTCAAACTAAGTCAATAAAGGGAAATGAAAGCACATGTTAAGATTTTGCTTTTGCACATTTTCTTATAAATTTTTTAACTTTGCACGTATCTTAGAAGAATAATTCATAACAGCTTAGCCGCATATTCCAGTACCCACTATTGACATATGCACGATATTTAATTTCAATATACATTCACTCATTTCGTATATTCATCGCTTATCATTTCGAATCCCTGGAAGAGCTCACGGCGAGACCAAAAACCATATATCAAAGGGTTTCGGTGACCGGAAAAAGGCCTGGTACAAGTGTGTTGTACTTAAGAGTGACTACTTCGACGGGGAAAAAGTAGGTATTGATCAATGAATAAATATTTTTCGAGAAAAGCAAAGTCTTTGTGGAAAACATCTCGCATATATTTTAAATTATATTCATACACAAAATAACTAGACCTAGAAGGTCGCAAGGCTAAAATGAAACTCCATATTTATGTTTTCGCTCTATTTACATAGAACTGTTGGAGGAATTGTTTACTCCTGTCTATCTGATTTTCGAATTTGAGATGGAAATTGTACTAAGAAAAAATTTTGAATGGAAATCTAAACGAAAATCTCTAATAGAGGAAAGTTATCAACTTTATTATAGCTGTCGAAGGTCTCATCAATTGATTTAATTGATTTGGAACCTAACAAAGGTACTAACAAGTTGGCCCTGCTGCGCAAAACGTTGAAGTTCTAATCGTGCACAACGGTACAACTGACAGATTACAGTAAATCCATTTTGCTATTCTCTTTGCCTACTTCCAACGGCTCATCTGCAGTCGGTACAAAAAGCCGGTACCTAAGCGAGTTAGAATAGAGAATGTTGCGCATAAAAAGATCGACATTTATAGATAGGTTTCAGTTAATCATTGTGAGTGGTCATGTTTTTGGGCCTTGCAACTATCTGCTTATTTAGTTTATGCTGTTTTTATTATCATCTTTTCTTTTTTCACTTTTAATTACTCCGCCTCCAATTATGTATTTGCACATGTAAGGCAAGGCACCTTGAGCGAGAATTATTTCATTTTATATTTTAAGCAAATATCGTCAATTCATTAAGCTTTGTTTCTAGTAACTTATTTTCATATCTCTTTTTTTTTTCTTTTTTTTTTTTAATTCAATTTCATTATTGTCTTCGTAACTTGACATTTACTTAATATTGCAGTTCATGCCGTTTTATTTTTAGTATTCATAAATTTTTCAAAATAATAATACAATTTACGTCGATTTCTTGTTTTTCATTATTTTTCATTCTTTGCAAAATCGTGAATTCGTTTTTTTACTTTTTCCTTTTTTTGTTTATTAAAATGGCATAAAAATAAAGGTCAACCTGTTTACATATTGAATTTTCATTATGTCATTTGTAATAAGATGACTGGAAGCACATATTAAATAAATATTTGTAACTTGCGAAAACCGTCTTTATTTAGACAAAGAAAAAAACAATACTAGGTAGTACTACGTACCTATGCAGTAACTGCAACAATGCAGAGGACACACCATAAAGTCTCTCAAAATTCAAGCCGACTTTACTGATGAGAACGGGTTTGTGCTGCTTTCCAACCAAATATCACTTGAGATCACACTATAAAGAATCTTTCATTGCTAATCCAATGTATGAAAATTGCTCTTGAGTGTGCGCATGTCATTCGGCAATCGGGGTGTCGGTTCGATGCAGACTTTCGGCCGGGCAAAAACCTAAACCAAAGATTGTTTTAATCTAAAAGTGGTAATGGGTTCCGTAATTCGAATAAAGCTCGGATCTCAGAATTAGTAACCATTTATTGATGTTGAAAATTTGCTACGGTTAGTAACTTACTTGTGGAAGGATTTCGCATTTTTTAATCTTTTAGAATCAATTAACTAAAGAGGCATTGAACTGATTTTTAAACGTCATTTACGAAAATCGCTGCATCATTTTTACGTTTGTAGGCTCACACTTACAATTTTGAACAAATTGGCAAACTCAGTTGACCATAGTCGGACCCCACGATTTTATAACAAATCATAGCACGGTGGCCCTCACACGCTCATAATCATAGGGAATCCGGTATCTTAAACAAAAAATACCCGATCGACGCGAAATTTGACACAAAGGTAACCTGAAAGTTCAGGGGAGTAATGTTTGATAATTGGTTTACAAGCTACGGACTAAACCAAAGTATATTTTGTAATGGCAAAAACAGCCTTCAAAAGTTAAGAGACAATTTATTTGTTCATGCAAGCTCCGTACAGTTCTCTGCTTTGGTTTGGTATACAGCTGCTCCGATTGAAATTAATTAATGAGAGATTGGCGGGAAAGCTCTCTTCTTTTTTGCAACCTGATTATTCTTTTCAGATCACGCCAAACTGGTAGAATGCGTCATTCGGTGTTTTATTATTTAATGTATCTACAGTATAATAAGGCGACAATAGTTAAAGCGCATTTAAAACATTGCATATCCGTGAAGGCATTGAGTTCCAGAGGGGAAGCAATGGATTAGTTGCTTGTAAACACTTTAGCGACACGTTGGAAAAGTGGAGTCGCAAGTGTTTGGAGCCGTCAAATATATTTGGCGAATTTTTTCCTTAGTTTTCAGTCTTAGAGAGAAACCCACATCGAAAGCTTTTGCATTTGCAAAGACACTTGGCTTTCGACTGTTGAAAAACAAATCTTCACCATTTTTAAATTCGGATTAACGAATTAAAAATGTCACGATTAATTTAGGTAATGGAAAAGTCGCATGTAAAAGGATATGTAAGAAGAATATTTGCAAAGCAAAGTTATTCGAAAAAGTCGAAAGTTAATCGGAAAGAGTCGAGGAAGTCGAGTCAAGAGAGTTGAATTGCAAAAGTAAAACAGACAAGACCAAGGCGCGCATTAAAACATTGTAAATATAAGTTCCAGTAAATAATTTGGAAATAGATCTTGTAGATTTTGAAGACCATTCTAATCTCACACATAGTGTTTAGGAAAGTTATGTATTATATGTACTGTGTGGTAGTAAGAGGTACGCTAAGGTTAGTGTAAGATATCATAACGCTATCGATGGTTAGGACAAGAGAGCGGCCTGAAGAGTCTGACCAGGTATGGTTCCAATTCGATCTTAGAATATTAAGTTCGAATAAGTGTTTCACTAATTGGCCTGAAGTTATAGCCAGATTAAGCAGAAGTGTGTAAGTTGCATATTAAAGATTTTGTTAATAATTTGGAACTCCATCCAAGATATTCCCCGAAGCAACGGCACCAATCAACTACTCTACTGATACGATCTTATGGACTTAGGATGCTCTTTGTCAATGCGTTAAATACACAATAAGTACAGCTTCTAGTCGCATATAGCTATTTTAATTGTTTGTTCTCAATATTTTGCTACATGAATATGATGATATTTCTTTTATCACTAAGAATCTCTTCTTAAATAAATCTCATGATATTTATTCTCTCACTGGGGAATCTTTTCCTAAATATATTTTATGACATTTCTTTTAATGCTGATTATAGAAATTTTATTATGTTGACTGATCGAAAGTCTTACAAACTGTTTAAGTTGACAGTTATTAGTTCACTAACTACAAGCCATATCAGTGCTGACTTGACATCTTTGAATTTAGAACAATTCTTTCTAGTTCGATAACCATGACCTTGTGAGTAAATTTAAAATTATAAGCTAAAGACATAAGTAATTTGTGTTTCTTCGAAATTTGTCATTTAGAATACGCGACGACAATCGTTTACGAGACAATGTCAAAATAAAATATAACTTGTATAAAAAGTATTGAGCCTTTAAGAAAATAAAAAAAGTTTTACAGTCATTTCTGGGCTGCGTAATATAGATTCAGTTAATTTCAAGCTTTGTTGAATGCGCCGTTTATATTTTACACACAATGTTACTAGAAGAGTGCGGTAAATTTAATAATAATTACAAGATGCATTTAATTGCTTGCATTTTTCCATAAGATTAATTTAAAAATTCAAAATCTATTATTAATTACTTCTATTAATTATTTTATCTGAGCTGTAGGTTGAATAGATTCAGACAACACTGAGAGTATCCGTTTATGACTATACGATTGTTACTACTATAGTTTACGATCTATTTACGAGCTATTACTAGTTAGAATACTATTTTTATTTTTAATAATTATGTTTACATTGTGCACATTAACCACGTACGAGACGTGTATTTTTTTTTTTTTTTTTTTTTAGAATTTTATGAACAATTAAAGCATACAAAAGAGAAACTCATGTTAAGTTGGGAGAGGCGTATTAACCTAACCGCCTTTGTAATTAGAAAACAAAAGACTTAAGACCTGAACTTGCAAATATATTGCAAACTGAAAGAAAAACAAATTACTTTTTTACACATTTTTGCTTTTTTTTTGCTTAATACAACGATTTTAATATGTAAACTTGAATATTTATTAAATATATCAACTTTGTTGTTGAATTTTTCCAACATCGAGATAGATAATGAATTGAAATTAACCACAAACGTGCTAACATCCTAATTTAGAACAAAAGAAGAAGAAAAGATTGAAACAAACCACAAAAATTCAATTAATCAAAACTTTTAAAACATCTAAAATTTCTCAAATTTTCCTAGAATTCACTAAACTATTAACGTGTATGAATCAATTTTACTATTAAACTAAATCCTATTGCGAACAAGTCATAACAATAAAGCGACAAAAAAGGAATTTCTAAAAGTTTCTTTTACTTAGAGCATAGCCATTATTCGATGGTATCCATCTCTAGTTGTCATGCTTAGAAGATTATCATACCTTTTGAGATCGAACAATTTTTGTACCCGCCAACCAACAATTTGGGTATATTGACGCCAGATTTAGAAAATATAAAATTCCAGTTGGTATTGGTAAGTGATGAAAACAAATGAACAACATTAGCTTATCCTCTTTTTACGGTTACTGTTATAGGAAATCATTTCATCATTAAAAAACAAATATATATACCCAATGGCCCACCGCTAAACAATTTCGTGGGACGACATATAGGCGTCGCCACTATTAGAAAAACTCTGTGCTCTTTAGCTCACCATTGGAAAACTAAATCTATCACATATACCCTTAGCTATACATCTAACTCGCAAAGGAGAGCAATCCGCCCTAATCGCTCCCAAAAAATTCTAAAGTTCAATTCAAGGTGATTGTGCTTTACGAATTAGAATATCTACTTACGACAAGATAATATGATATTCCTCAGGATTTCTCTGAAATTGTGGGTGTGCCGAAGAGGAGCAAGGCAAATATGTTTAAGCGCAAATTTTTCAATTTCTTCAATATTTTTCAAGGTTGTGCAAATTTTAGACAATGACAGCATTTTTGCAAATAAAGCTCTTCAATATCCGAACTTTATCTGTAGAATTTTGGAATTCCGAGTTTAATGTTTCTATCTTCGTTTTTGCAAAGTTTGCAAAGATTGCTTTCTTCATTCAATTGTATTTGAAAGCCAATGTAGCCTATTTGCAGGCTAAGTGATAAGCAAAAACTCATCACTGTTAACTTTGTTAAATTGCTTATTTCTACGTGTACCTAATGTACTCCCGCCGGCAACCGCCAACGATCTAAAGGTAAATTTATAATATAGTCTCCTTATTCCATAATCGGATCGCAGAAGTTATACGAATTTTGCCGTTTAGAAAGTACACAAAAACTCGTAGACTTAGAGTAAGGTAGAATCCTTACAAAATATATATAGAAGGTCCTTCGATTCCTCAGAAAAGTTAAAGCTGAGAACATATTTTCTTGAATCATATCCCCAAGTCGGAACTTTGGCAGAACCTCGTTTGCTTCGATACTTGAAATTTTGAAGTTCCATCTATCATCTCTAAGGGGGATTCAAAATAACCTAAAAATTAAAGGAAAAATTGAAACCTATGTCTTTAAGACAACCTCTGAGTCATGTATGTGGATTGCTTTCTCTACGTTCCTATATTGAACTATTTCGTCGTACCCTCTCTGTTTTACGTCTTTATGCGCAGAGACCGAAAAACTCAACAGTCTTCACTTCTATTTGAAATAGTAAATATTTGACAGCTTAGCTTGCAAAGCAAATTCTCCGAAAGCTTATAATAAATGGCGTTTTAATGAAAAACAAATATTTAGCCATGAAAGCAGTTATCCAAGAGTTTGTTCTAAAACCGCCAAACTCTCATATCGTTTTTAAATTTATTTATCATTTTATGTTACTTGAGATTATTCTTTTAATTTTGTATTCATACGTATATATATGCACATAATGTAATTTTATACATTGTAAGGCTTTTTTTCTTTATTTCATATTTTTTATTATGTATTCTTCAATTATAATTTTAATTTAATTTCTTTCGTTCTCTTCTTTGGTCACTTTTTCAAATTATATTTCACTTTAATTATTTTATTTTATTTCAATTCATTTATTTATTTTTTATTATTTGCATTTGCTTTAATCCATTTCATCTTTGCTTTATTTATTTATTTTTTTCTTTTTTTTTTTTTTATATAAACTTTGTTTTGCTTTATTATAAATTTTATTAATTTTTTTTGCGTTCGTTTCACTTTAAACAAAAATTTTATAAAACCCGTGCAACTGCATAAAAGTTTCGAGGTGAATATATTCACACTATGACAACACATAAGCACACTTATAAATTTTATATTATTATGCCAACATATGCTTACATATGCAAGCGAAACGAAATCATGCTGTTTATTTTACTTTTCAATTTTGAGCTAAAGAGAAACAAAAAAAAAAAAAAAACGAAAAATGCTGTGCCTTATGAGGTTACATAGATCTGTTTGATTCTTCGCGTATGCCTATCAACGTTATTTGCATACAAAATTAATTAATAGCAAATTTATCGGCAAAAAACATACGAAGACACTTTTCTTCAAATACCAAATCGCAAAGGTTTGAAAATGTCTTTTAACAGTAAACAGAAGTAATGAAAAGTTAATATGCTTTCAACTACATACATACATGTATGTGTATACATTTATATATACGTGCACATATACATATATATAGGTATGTAGATGAGTGTGTGTGTGTGTGTGTGTGCGCGCACATATGTCACCGAAACAAAGTTAAATAAAGACAACGTACACAAATCGTTCGCTATGCTTTAAGCCACCGCTCGTAAACACGTCTCACAAAAGACTAACTCAAGGTAGCCGCTCGAATAAGTTAAAGCATAACGCAACTCAGCACAGAAGACTGGTGTGTACATGGTATCGCTGGTGGTGGTTGAGATATTTGTTGAATGCATAAACCGCAGTGTTAAAAAATACAACTTAAGACAACTCAGTCACTTACTTACCCGTAGAGCATGAAAATGCATATACGTAGAGAGCGAAAACGAAGAAAATGAGTAAACGTTTAGACGTTAATAACGTAACAACTGCATTTCGTTACGTTAAAAACGTAAATAATATATAAACAAATCATAGGCCTTAATGCCATATGATTGATATATTGGATAAACATTCGAAAAATGATATATGTTTAACGAGATAACGTAACGTAAATTATTCATTGATCACAAATTTTCACTTCAACTTTTACAAATTTATTCTTCTCAATCCATAAATGAATCCCTATCCGTTCATATCGGGTTTTTGATCTATTTTTGCTTTTTTTCAACGTTACACACTATGAAAACGAAGGTGTCACCTTTAAGCAAGTACAGCGGCAAGGTAAGAATTATTCGTGCACGTACAATCGGCCAACTAATGGAAGTTATTTTTTTCTTGGAATTTAAAATTCCTTATGTTTACCAAAATGATGATACATATTATATAAGAGGGAAGCATTTTGTCGCAATTTTACTATCAATAGGTAACATTACTTGACTGTCCCAGGCAAGCAAGCACAATGCATCTGTTAGGATCTTAGTACTTAGGGCACCTCTCATGCGTTGCTGTAAAAGGACTTTAATGCAGAGTTAATAAGGTGAAATTGACTAAAGTGCATTTAAGATATCATGCTTAATAAGAGTTCTAGAAAGTAAGGGACACTTCTGTTACATGTAAAAAATGATGTGACACACTGGGAAATGAAGTTAAAAGTATTCGCATCGTACAAGGAAGTTTACAAATTTCCTTTCGAAGATTTCGGTCTCAAAGAAAGCCGTCGGTCTGGGCTATTGTAACATTTTTCGGTCTACGTTGGAGAATAACCCATTCGTCTGCTGAAGAACACCTCAAACATTTTCAAATTCAAATGTTTTTCTTAAGGTACGTCAGCGCTTACAAAATAATCATTGATTC